TTTGTTACGCCTTGCCTTTTGCGCCTAGGTGTTGTTTTGCTAGATTTATAGTTTTGATCTTTTATTTTTAGTGTATGCTCGAACTTGGCTCAGTTCGCGGATTTCCTTCTTACCGTGCTAGACATTTTAATCACTTGTTATGGTTGAGAATAATTAATTTCATAGGTGGTCATGTTTGTGTTGGTAAAACTGACCCTGAGTTTTACCCACACCGAAGATCCTGTTTGTGCGCGCGATTCTCGTGCGCAGCTCGATCATTGGCGTTTGATTGGTTCCTTGGCGTTTGATTAGTTCCTTGGTGCTCGCCAAGTACTTCGGAGCGAGCCTCCACGGCCTGCTCAGTTTTTAAGGTAACCTATGTGGAAAGGTTAGACAGTAGTTAATGCATTACCTTATTATAGGAAATTTTCTTTATTCGAAACTCGTTTTCCATTAAATTCGCGTTAATTTAAGTCGCGTTAATTCCCAACACCTTAATTTCATGGAGCGTTAATTTCCTATAATAAGGTATTGACCAATTAGAAACACATGCTTTTCCTTATGTTATCAACACTTTTTTTTTTTTGACAGTTGCTGGTGTTATTAGTTAGAGTTCATTTTTTTTTCTAGATTTATCGACATAGTAAAGCGAAAATAACCACTGGTTATGACACCTTCAAGCATGACCATGACTCCAAGAAGAGAAAGAGGGACTATGCAAGATTTTATAACCAGAAAAAGGTGGGCTACCCTATGTTCATGGCATCAAGAAAACTGGGCGTGTCACATAGGATAGTAGGAAATCAAGCGGTTGTACATTAGCAACCATTCTGTTACGGGGAGGGGGGAGGGAGAGAAGAGGAAAGAAGTCTTTCCCTGCCGTCTACTACCAGCCCCTTCCCTTCCCCCCCCCCCGTTCCTCAAGAGAATAGCCTCTTCTTGTAGATGTGGTCTTCTGGTCTTCTATGTAGGGCCAACTTTTCTCGATTCACAGCAGCCCTTCATGTATCTTTATCAACTACGCTGCGAAAAAGAAAGAAATGTTAACTAAACGGAAACAAATTTAACTTCGGTAACGAAGTATCTCTTGTCGACGTATCGTCCGAGCGAGGTTAGTTCTTAAAAGGACTGTTGTCGTTGATCGAGACTGACATCTCTACAACATGAGCCGAAGTCAGCAGCATAATCATGACTTTTCCACCTAGACAGGGACACTTGCTTTGCTCCGTTAGTTTATTTATTTTCTTATACAAAATAAACTTCATTTTAACAATGTTCATTTTATTAGCCTGCTGTTGCCAAATTAGAATGTACTTTCGTCGTATTTGTACTAGATGTCAAGAAACAAATTGAACCTGGGATCGAAGATTAAAGTTTTTTCAGATTCCTTTTTTCTGCAATAGCAACGTATAAAGATCAATCCGTTACCAGCTATTATCATGTCACTAAGAAATGCCTGTTCACACTCCTGCAATACTGTATTTAAGCTCTGATTGCTCAAACAATGCCAGTCTTACTTTTGTTCTCCTTTATCCTCAGGAGTCATTCAAGAGAGACAGGGTAACTGGACTAACCTCGTTGAAGTACAGAGTAGAAAAACGGACAAATCTTAACATCAATGGGGCGCCTTGTACGATCTTAAACGTTCACTTGGATTGCGATTTGGAGCAGACACCCTGGTGTGACAATCCTGATTCATGACAAATATACTTAAGAAACAGTGTAACAAGTTTACTCCTCGTACACCAGACAGCAGCCATATGTCATTACAACGGTCCTAATACCATGATTGTCTTCTTTGGTTTAGAAAATGCTCTGACAAAAATGAAACTAGATGTGGCTTGCAAGGATGTTCTGTGGTCTACCAGAAAACCTCAGCTGTTAAACAAACAATGAAACAAACAATAAAACAAACAAAATAGGCATTCCTTGGTCTACGAATTCATTGAACTCGAGTTGTAAATAAAAAATTTTCCTTGTTTATGAAGAAGTGTGCGTTAACCTTTAAAAGTTCCATTTAAGGAATGTTTTCCAAGTTTTTTTTGTTGTTGTTTTTGTCTGTTTGTTTTATGTATTATATATTTATGACCGGAGTTCACCAAAAAAAGTCGCAACCAGCCACACGCTAAGTCATACATTTGAAGAGAAAAAAGAGCACTATATTTTTTTTTTAACTCAATCGAATATGATTTGCAACGTACATGTACTCGCTACTAATCTCGTAAAATGTTATGAAGTGTGCGCTCTGTAATAATGTTCAAAATGAACATAATAAATACAATTGAACAGCTTAATGAAACATTCTTACTCGTTTTTCGAACAAAACCTACCTCTTCAAAATAAATGATTCAACGAGTTTTCTCTCTTGTTTGAAAACAGGCTTGGATGAACTTAACGTTTCCCTATGCCCACAATAACAATAATTTTTGGTTGATCAACAGTAGCATGCCCTCTCGTGAACATTTCCAGCTTGAGAATAGTATGGAGCAAACGCCCATTCAATCCTTTAAACAAGTCTTGGCTCTGAAAAAAAAAACCGTGTTTCTTTCCGTATAAGCCTGTAACACTAAGAGAAGTTTGGTTTCCCTCCTAATTTATTACTGAATTGCGATCAGGGTTCAGGCTTGTTCCTAGATTCTTCTAAGTGTTATGAAAAGGTGAAAAAAGGGATTACCGGAGTTGAGGTGGGGGGGGGGGAGTGGGGGTGCAAGAAGTGACGACATTGTGAAGATTGTCGGTTGTCCTGTTTAGGAGGCACGGAAAGTGGAAATCGCCACAAAAACGGAAAGGTTAAAGACTTTTTCTTCGCGCTCCTCGTGATAGAAAAACTCGTGAATTTCGGATGGAATAACCCCACAAAAACGTTGATCAGTTGAAAACCTGAAAACCGTGTACTTTACTATACTTGTTATCATTAACTAGAATTAGAGTATATAGTTATTGCTGTCTGGTGTTCATGTATCACACTGATATAACAGCTACGGAAGCAAATCAGAGATTAAGTCTTTCCGGTGCCCGGATTTCACGTCCCACGCGAGATTTTCTTGTAACCTTCTCGGCCTCTGTTATGGTGGGGCATTGTGGATTGGTGCTTGAGGGCCGTGTAATCACACTGCTACTCGATGGGTTTGATGAATTGTCTACTGCGGTGAACTCTCGTGGATTGGCGCTTGAAGATTGTGTTGTCATATTTTCTTGAGAAGTGCAACTCGACAAGTTGTTTGCTAGGTTGTTAGAAGCCTTATTTGGTTTAAGATGGATTCTATTTCTTCGTAGTTGGACACCATTTCCTGTTTCTATGAGATATGAGCGGGATGTCTCTCCCTGATCTATGATTCTAGCCGGCTTCCATGTCTTTCTCACGGGGTCTTGTGTATAGATGGCTCGGTCCCTGTGTAGTTCAGGGAGTTCCTTAGTGTGCCTATTGTAATAGTAGCATTGGTTGTCTTCTCTCGCTTTGAGCCAATTTCTAATTTCTTCTTGATTCTTTGATGGCTGGATCTTACCAGGAAGTGTGGACTTGAACACTCGGCTATTCAGTAATTCAGCCGGTGATGGTACGTTGGAACTCAGGGGTGTTGTTCGTAGAGCCAACAGGGCTAGATCTATGTCTTCTTTAGTTTCTCTACACTTTAGGATCGTCTTCTTAACCGTTTGGACTTGTCGTTCGACGAATCCATGGCCACGTGGGTAATGGAGTATTGACGTCACAATTTCAAAGCCATATTGCCTTGCCAGTTGTTGGAACTCGCTTGATGTGAACTGAGTACCGTTATCACATTGAAGAGATTTTGGGATTCCATTTTCTGCGAATAGCATTTTCATCTTACTAATAACGGCTCCGGCTGTGGGGTTGTGAAGCTTCTTGACAAATGGGAACTTGGAATAGTAGTCGAACAACTATGAGGAACCACTACTGTTGTACGTAGAACAGGTCTGCGCTCACTGTCTGCCACGGTCTTGAGAGGATCTCTGATGGTATCATAGGCTCCTTTTGTTGAGAATTGTGGTATTTCTGGTAAATGCAACATGAGTTTACAAGATTTTCTATTTCTTTGTATACGTTTGGCCAGTAAACACAGGATTTGGCTCGTAGCTTATATTTTTCCATACCAAAGTGCCCTCCGTGGACTTGCTGTAAGATGTTGCCTCTCAAGGATTCGGGTACTATAACACGGCTTCCAAGAAGTATCAGCCCGTCTTCTACTGATATGTCATCTCATAGAGGCCAGTACGGTTTTAGTGCCGGAACAATTTTCTTCCCTCTGTCGGGCCAACCTTGCAGAACCTGTCGGGAAAGAAGCTGCAAGGTTTCATCTTTTGCAGTTTCCTCTTTAAACTCTTTCCTTTTAGCTGGGGTGATTCTGATCAAGTTGTGAACTTTTACATTCATATCTGATACTTCAAATTTGTCCAATGGCGAAAGGCGTGACAGGGCGTCGGCTGTAACCATTTCTCGTCCTGGGAGATACTTGATGACGCAGTCGTAAGGTTGTAGACGCAACAGCATTCTTTGAAGACGTGGAGGTACCTGTGTCAGGTTCTTTTTGTAGATCTGATCTAAAGGGCGATGGTGTGTTTTAACCACAAACAATCTTTCATTGAGATACGAGTGTAACTTTTCGCAGCCATATACCACTGCTAATAGCTCCCGTTCGATATTAGCGTATCTAGTCTCCGCATGGCTAAGTGCTTTCGATGCAAAAGCAATTGGTTTGTTGATTTGGAACAGAGCTGCGCCCAAGCCCTTAATTGATGCGTCTACGTGAAAGACGACTGGTTCATTTCTGTCATAGTGCGCCAGGGTCGTTGTGGTACATATCAATGACTTAATCTTCTCAAAGGCTTTCGAGTGTGATGGAGTCCATGCAAAGTCAACGTTCTCTTTTAATAGATTTCTTAGGGGTGCAGTGTGGTCAGCTAGATTGGGAATGAATGAGCTCATATAATTTTCCATCCCCAAAAAGGTGTAAAGCTCCTTCTGGTCTTTGGGTGGTTCTAGATTTTCTATGGCTCTGACTTTATCTGGGCTGGGCTTGATACCGTCTGGTGTATAAAGCATACCAAAGAAATTGCACTCCTTTGTTTCGATGGCACACTTATCGTCATTGAGCTTAATACCAGCCTTTCTGGTACGTTCCATGGTTTCGTGAAGGTGTAGGTCATGCTGCTTGTCGTTCTTTCCATAAACAGTGACGTCATCTGCAATGCTAATAGCTCCCTGGCAATCACGATATGTCTCTTCAATCTTGAATTGGAAGATATCTTGGCTCATTTGTAGGCCAAAGGGCATCCTGAGGAAACGAGATCGACCGAATGGTGCATTAAAGGTTGTCAAGTACGAGGATTCCTCATCCAGTTTCACATTCCAATAGCCGTTGCGAACATCAAGCTTGCTAAAAAGCTTTGCTCCTGCTAATTTAGGTGTGATTTCCTCTAAAGTGGGTATGGGATGATGTTCTCTTTTGATTGCCTTATTCAGATCTTTAAGATCGAGGTATAGACGAAGTCGACCATTTTATTTTTCTCTTATGACCAGGTAGTTGACCCAATCTGTAGGCTGTGTTATTTTTGCAATTATATCTTGGTTTTCCACCACCTGTAATTCTGCTTGTAATTTGTCTTTCAACTCTATGGGCACTTTGCGGGGTGCGTGGACTACTGGGGATACTTCAGGATCTAGTGTGATGTGATACGTATAGTCGTCAAAACATCCCACTGTGCCATTGAAACATTCTGGATACATCTCCATCAGCTCTTGTTTACTTGTGATTGATTGCCGCTCTTCCAGTGGTACATGACTTCCAATGTAGTTTGAGCTTTCTTTGCAAGTACCCACCTTGAAGCTGCTAGATGGATCAGCCTGGCGGTTTCATTGATTTTTCCTTATTTTACAATGTAAGGAGACTAGTTTCAGTGCAGTGCAAGCTTTTAGACCGAGAATAGCTGGTTCCGAAGTGTCCGTGACATAGAAAATGCAGTTGATCTTTTTTCTTTGTATCAGCAAGGGATGTTTATAGTGCCAAGTTGCTTGATTGTAGAGCCACCATATGCTGAAAGGACGGCTTCATTCTTTTCCAGTGATTTTGGTTTAGGGTTTCCTTCGTTGTTAAACTTCTCTGGGAAAATTATGCACAGTAGCCTGATAAGTAAGACATTGCTCTGTGCACCAGTGTCTACCTTGCACTGGAGATTAATTTTCCGCTTCTTTTCTGGTTGAATTATATCAAGTGTTGCGAAAGCTTCATCGCGTGTTTCGTGTATCGAGCGTCGCGTGTTTTCTATGTTGTTATAATTTGGATATATCAACAAAGTTGAAATGGTAAATTGGCCACCGTAATGATTACAAAAGCTGACGTTTCGAGCGTTAGCCCTTCGTCGGAGCGAATAGAGGAATTGTGGGTTGTGTGTGCTTTTAAAGGCAGAAAATGGAGCTACGTTATTGGTGGGTGCATGGCAACGAGAAAAACATGAATAAATTAGTGGAATGAAAAGCGTTCATTGATCCCTGTGGGATTTAGACTGCCGGTTTGAAAGATGAGCTTTTGTTCAAGATTTTTACGGCTTTCCGTGCCACCTAAGTGCAAGGAAAGACCGCAGATTGCCATATGTTGCTTAGAATGATTAGGTAAATTAAAATGTCTAGCGACTGGTTTCGATGTGTCCTTGTCATTCCTTTCCACGTCTCGAAGGTGTTCTCGGAATCGGTCACCTAGTCTTCTGCCTGTTTCGCCGATGTATATCTTTTTGCAATAAGTGCAAGTTATGCAATAGATTACATTAGCGGAGGTGCACGTGAAGTGATCGGTGATCTTAATGGATCGTTTAGGTCCCGATATTTTATCAGTGTTGTGAATGAAAGGACACGTTTTGCATCGTGCACGAGCGCATTTAAAAGTGCCTGGTTGCTCATTAGTCTGAAAAGAACTTCTGACCAAAAAATTGCCTAAGTTTTTGTCGCGTTTGAATGAAATGAGCGGAGGCTGCGAAAAGATAGTGCNGGTTAGACTTTCCAGTCTTCTGGGATAGGGATGACAAATAGAGGTCCAGTCTCACAACCCCTTATATGTGATTTAAATTTGTGGGACGTTAAAGAACCCACACACTCCTCGAAAAGAGTAGGGCACGTAGTGCCCGGTGTTGTGGTCTATCTTTGTGCAGTGTCTATCCAGGGTGAATTGGGGGGAGGGGTGGTGCCTCGCATGGACCTTGTGTTCCGTTCGCACTAACCCTTCCGGGTCTAGTCACACCTGGTAAAGTCGTTAAAACAAAAAAACAAAAAACAAAAAAACAAAAACAAAAAAAAACAAAAACTGTGCTTACTTGTCGCCTCGTGGCTTCTTGCAGTTTCAACAGCGGCTGCAAGGGTCAAGGATTTGTCTCGGCTAATGAGAGACTTCTGAACATCGGGATTTCTTGACCCCCAAATGAACTGATCCAAAACTCTATCCTCATTTTCGGTGTTATCGCGAAATTGACATTTCGCCGCTAGATTTTTTAATCTTGAGATAAAGTCATCCACTGGCTCGCCTTGTTCTTGTCGCATTCCTTGCATTGTGTATCTGTGAATTCGATGACTCGTCTTTGGCTCCAATTGATTCTCGAACCGTTCGAAGATAATGGCAGGCTTTTTTCTGTCTTCCTCCTTTATGAGTGTCCAATTGTTGTATATATCCGAGCCTTTTTCTCCCTACCAGAGTAGAATATAACTAACTTTTTCCTGGTCGTCGGTGTCTTTGAGAACACTTGAAAACATAAGCTGACATTTTTGTTTAAATCTTGCGAATGCGATTATCGGATCCGGAGCGTCCCAGTTCAAGTAAGGCGACGCAGCAGACGTTGCTGTTGCCATAATTCGCTTCTGCTGACTTCTCTCGATTCAAAGTTAGAAGTTATTCTTGTAGAACGCTGCCACCATGTAGTACGTTGCCGGAGACTCTTTATTGCGGTTGTCCACCTAACACACCTATGTGTGTATGCTTTTTACTCAATTTGTATACAACGTGTTATGCTTTTTAAATATGTGTATTTGCAATGTAACGTGCCAATGTTATCACGTGCTAATATAGTACAGTAATCTCGAGTGTGAGCGAGATACTAATGAAACAATCGATTGAAATGTAATCCTAAGTGTGCGCGAGATACTAAAAAAACAATGTATTGAAAGATAATTTAAGTGTGCGCAAGTTTTTAACGATACAATCGATTCAAATGTAATCGTAAGGTTGCGTTATATACTAACGAAACAATCGATTAAAATGGAATCCTGAATGTGCGCGAGATACTAACGAAACAATCGATAAGGTTGAATTGTAATCCTAAGTGTGTGCAAGACACTAACAAAACAAAATATGCGAATGTAACTGAGCGCTAGATATGAAACAATCGAGTGAAATGTAATCCTTAGTGTGGGCGAGATACTAACAGAACAATCAAGTAAAATGTAATCCTGAGTTTGCGCGAGACGCCAAGGAGAAGATCGATTGAAATTTAATCCCGAGTATGCGCGAGATGGTAACGAAACATAATATATAAATGTAATCCTAAGCGTTAGACAGTAACAAAAAGATCGATTGAAATGTAACAAAACAATCGATTAAAATATAGTCCAGTTGTGTACGGGGTACTAACGAAACGGTGGATTAAAATGTAATCCTAACTAAGTGTTAGACAGTAACAAAAAAATCGATTGAAATGTAAACCTTACTTACTTACTTACTCAATCCTCTTCGCGTTGTGAAACACATAAGGCCTCGCCCAAAGAGCGCCATTGGCTTCTGTCAGGTGCTTGTCGTTCCAGGTGACCCCATGTCCAGCTGTTTTCC